TCTAAGAATGGGGATTTTTTTTCTGAGACACTATATGATATACTGATTCAGAAAAACCAAAAATAAATTTTCCTTTACTTTTTTCCCGCTAATTTCCTACAGCACCCAGGCTACCTCTTGAAAACGGTCAGGCAATTTCTTATTCTTATTTTATGTGTGATACAGGCCTACATACATAAAAAAAAATCAGTAGTTGCATTAGGCCTCGTATTCTTTTTTTCCATGAATCGATAAATTCCAGAAAGAAAGGAGGTCTGGTGGTTCTCCCCTGGAAAATTTTGATTCATAGATGGCGGGAAATGATCTTTCCCGACTTCTGAGGTATCTTTTACTGATTTTAATTTGAAGTTCAGGTTTTCCCCTCTTGAAAACGGTCAGGTAAGTTTTTCTCATTCTTATTACAGTAAGTAAGGCTAGGCCTATTATGTGCACCGGTATACATACGTTGCATTCTTTTTTCCATGAATCGATGAACCCCAAAAATAAAAGGGGGTCGGGGTCCTTCCCCTGAGAAAACTTTTATTTCTAGATGGTGGGAAATGATCTTTCCCGACTTTCAATTTTCTTATAGTAAAAAAAAAATTTAAAAAAATCAACTCATGGGTCATGAACATGTATGTATGTAAGTCTAGATTTTTTTTCCCGCCAATGTGAATTGCGAGAAAATGTGACGTGGTCGGGGGATGGATAAACATTCTCTTTCTCTCCTTCTTCCTTTTTCTTTTCTTGCATTTTTTTCTGATCATACAAAAATCTCCAACATTATATGTTTTCTGCAAACAAGTGGGGGCCCAGACCCCCGGTTCCGTCGGCCATGAATAATAAATAAATAAATATGTTTTATTAAATAATAGAAAGTGTATGCTGAAAGCCTGTAACACGTGAAGATAAAATGGGCACCTTTTATCAAAGAGCAGGCCCGTAGGCAGGATTTTCGATGGGGAGGTGCGTTTTGCAACCGAAGTGGACCTTACGATGGGCGACTGCCCAGGGATCCCCGAGGGTGGGGCGAATCTTCTGGAAGCTCTGACAAATTAGCATTTTGAGGGCCTTTTTTAATGGACTTCTAAAATCCATAATTTATAATATCCTATTTAAATTTTCATTCATTTGAGTATTGTCTAGGGACCTACAGTAAAGCAGGAGAAATAGAGGGTGGGGGTGAAGGGAGGAACTTGCACAGACAGATGGTCAATACCACCTCAGCCCCACCATGGTTAGGGCTGAGGTAAGAAAATTTATGATTATGGCACCTCAAAATGGCCGGAAATGGTACTCTCAGACAAACTTTAATAATAATTTCTCTTTTTTCTCCATTTCTTTTATAATTTTAGGGGGATCTCCCCCCTTGAATCCACCACTGTGAAATTGTAATTTTTTGTTTGTTCTTGGAGCTGATAGTTTCCAACAGATTTTGTAGAACATTATTAAAAATCAACGGGTAGAAGAGCGGGCAAAACAATGTAATGCATACTATAGCATTTCGCGATAATTAGGAACGATTTAAGTGAAATAATAAGTTTTAAAAAGTGGAATTTTTGAAATTTGGTGGTCCAAGGGCAGAGGCCTGGAGGGGGTTTGTGAGAAAAGCGACAAAGTAGCATTTTGAGGGTCTTACATAATAGATTTCATGAAAACACATAATTCATGAATATTTTATTCAAATTTTCATTAATTTGGGTGTTTTTTGGGACCTGAAAAAGTAACGTTAAATGTCCTGTACATATTCTTCACATTATATAAATCAATCTGCAATCACCGGAGACGATCAATTTCTAACAAATTTCATACCACATTATTAAAAATCAATGGTTAGATAAGCTGGCAAATATATAATGCAATGCATGCTACTATAGCATTTTATGGTAATTAGGAACGATTTTGTGAATTCATAGGTTTTAAAAAGTGGACCTTTTGGAATTTGGGGAGATGCGTCCGCACCCTCTGCACCCCACCCCTCCCCCACTTCCTCCACTTCCTCCCCTGCCTACGGGCCTGAAGAGATACAATAACAAAATATTAAACATTTCGGACTCAGCTAATAATAGTCTTTTTTCTAGCAGTGCAACTTATGTGGTCAAAAGTCGACCAGGTTAGTCCATAGTCCACAGTAAACTCATGCTCTGATCTGATTGGTTATCTACAAAGAAAGTTCCCCACATGATCCTCTCCTCCCCTGAAGTAGCGTCCACCACACAGAGCGCGTATAGCTGACCGACTGCTAGTTTGGAAGTTTGGTAGGAGATCGTAACAAAATTTTTTAAAAATGGCAGAGTTGATAGTCATGCCAACATCTGCATTTATTGATGAAAAGATGTCAATACATGTATATGGCCTACAGAAATCGCGAAGTGTTACAATTCGGGCATTTGTCGACGAAAGAGGCCGAAATTTTGAGGCATACGCTCATTTTCATTCCGATGTTAATGGCACGGTCCAACTCGATTCTCACCCGTCTCTTTGCGGTAGTTACCGAGGTAAGATCAGGTCAGTCTAGCCTAGGCTAGTTTGGCCTAAGCTTTTGGCTGTCTCCATTCCTGCATAGCCCCGGCCTACTATATTAACGCCACGTTAAATGTTTTCAAGAGCCATTTAGGACCAGGCTAGGCCCTAGGCCTATACCAGTTACCAGGTGAGGATTTCGCGCGCGCCCCCCCCCCCCTCCACCCTCCATATCACAATTTTTTTTTTTTTTTTTTTTTTTTTTGAGATAATTAAATGGATACTGAATTCCATAAAGGTTGCTTCTATGTCACGCTTCGCAATGCATAGCTACAAAGAAAGTTAATGGCACGGTCCAACTCGATTCTCACCCGTCTCTTTGCGGTAGTTACCGAGGTAAGATCAGGTCAGTCTAGCCTAGTTTGGCCTAGCTTTTGGCTGTCTCCATTCCTGCATAGGCCCGGCCTACTATATTGACGCCACGTTAAATGTTTTCAAGAGCCATTTAGGACCAGGCTAGGCCCTAGGCCTATACCAGTTACCAGGGGAGGATTTAGTGGGAGGATTTGCATAGCTACAAAGAAAGTTTAAGCGCAGATGCACCAGCATGGAAACTTTCGTGCAATCAATCACTCTCTATCAAGGTCAGCAGGTATGTGCTGTCAGACAACCCCATGCACAGTGACCACAGACCGCTGATATGTGTGCACATCTCCATTGACGACACCCCTTCAGTAGACTTGCACTTTTAATAAAGTACAGTTTTTGTGTAGACAACATTTGACACTTTTGACGTGTAAATTCTACTTATTGTTTTCAAGTACAGTAGCTGGTTTAATCATCATTGTGTAATTTACAAGATATACTGTATGAAATTATATAATCCTGTCGTCTCTAATTGACATGAAACAAAGTAGGCCTACCTAAACCTAGGGCCTAAGCCTATT